GGCTAGGTGAACAAATCATAAATTCTAGGCAGCATGGGGGCGCGCTGACAAGGAAGGGTGATGGTAACGCAAGTTGAAAGTTAGACTGTGGCCAAATGGTGAAGGGCCTTGAATGCCATGTTAGGAAATCAGGGTCACCGGGGGCAGGGAAGCAGGGCAGTGATGTGGATGGGTTAGTGTTTTTAGCCCCGGCCCTCTGGGCATGAGGGGACCAGACGGGGGCAGAGAATCTGGTGAGGAGGCCTGGCTGCGAGGAGGAGGGTGAGAGAGAGGAGGCCCGGATGGAGGCTCTTCTCCGCTGGGTCTCCCCTGAGTCTGAGTCTACTCTCTCTGTGTTTCAGAACCCGACAGCAGCCTGGGGCTGAAGCATGGCCATGAGGGCAGGTGGACAGTGCTGAAGAACCGGCCTGGCTCCAGTGGCCTCGAAAGGACCCCAGCCCTCGAGAACCCCAGCCCACAGCCCTCTGCTGCCCACAGGATGGGAGCCTGGGGGCTGGGAGCCCGGCCATGAGGGATTACTGCTCCTCCCCACGAAAGGCCAGCCCTGAACCCCCCAGGCACACCCCTGCCCCAAGCCCAGGCATGGACTCTAGACACAGTAACCCCAGTGGAACTGGGGAAGGGGCCTCCTGCTCTGAGGATCCTGGCAGGAGTTTGGCCTGCCCATCCCTGACCTGCATCCCTCCCCAAGAGGCAGCCACGAAAGAGACAGTGGGAGCACTTGGAGCCTCCATCTCAGGGACACCAGAAGTCACCTCCTCTGGGAAGCCAGAGCATGTGTCTTCGGTGAAAACTGACCCCTCATCCTTGGAGAGCAGAAAGCCTGTGTTCTTGGAGAAGCTGGACTCCACGCCTTCAAAGCAGGCAGATTCCACTGGCAGAGAAAAGGAAGATGCCGGGTCCTTGAGAAAGGCAGGTCCCATGTTCACAGGAAAGGCAGAGCCTGCCGTCTTGGGAAAGGGGGATCCGGTGGCTTCTGGAAGGATGGATCCTGGAACCCCAAAAAAGGAAGATCCTGTATCCTCGGCCAAAGTGGGCCCTGCATGCCCAAAACAGGAGGAGCCCAGGTGTTCGGGACAGAAGCTCCTTGTGTCCTCAGAAGAGGTGGGTTCTGCACCCGCGGGCGAGGCAGATCTTGTGTCCTTGGGAAGGAGAGACCCTGGGCCCGCAGGGAAGGCGGACCCCAGGTCCCTGGAATATGCCCCGCCTGCAGCTGCAGGAAAGACAGATCCTGGCTCCTTGGCAATGCTGACTCCAAGGTCGCCGGTCAACATGGAGCCCGTGTCCCATGGAACAGTGGCTCCGGGGGCGACAGGAAGGGGCCGGCCCGTGGAGATGACAGATCCTGTCTCCATGGGAAATGCGGACACAGTGTCCTCTACAGAAGAGGACCCTCGGTTCCCGGGAATGATGGCGCCCGCCTCCTCAGGAAAGGGAGCTCCCACGTCTGTGAGCATGACAACAGCCGGGCCTGCTGGGCAGGCGGACGCTGGCTCGTTGAGCAAGGTGGGCCCAGTGCCTCTGGGGAAGGTGGATCCCGTGTCCTCGGAAAAGCCAGAGCCCCTGTCTCCCGGGCAGGCTGAACTGGCATCCGTGGCAAAGACAGGAGCTGTATCCCCAGAAAAGGAGGACTCGGCGTCTTCCCGAAAAGTGGACCCCCCCATTTCTGTGGGAAACAGAAAAACATCACCTGCTGGGAAAGTGAACCCTGAGTCTTTAGGAAAGACAGACCCTGTGCCCTCGGTCCCAGGAGACCCCACGTTCTTGGGAACAGCGGGACCCTCGTCTTCTGTAAAAACTGGGGCAGTGGCTGAGGGGAAAGCAGCGCCGCTGTCCTCAGAGAGAGCAGGCCCTGTGGCCTCTGGAAAAGTGGGTCCCACCATCTCAGGGAAGGCGGACCCCGCCCTGGGCAGGGTGGACCCTGGGAGCAGGGGGGAAGCGGACTCCGTGTCTTCAGGAAAGGTGGCGCCCCCAGCTCTAGGGAAAACAGCCCTGGCACCCGCGGGAAAAGCCGATGCCGGCCCGGAGGGAAAGGTGGGTGCTCGGCCTCCAGAGAAGGGGAATCCTGTGAACTCCACAAAGGTGGGCCCCGGGGCCTCGGGGAACGCAGACACAAAGCGCCCTGAGCACGAGGGCACCACTGCATCAGGAAACGCAGAGGCTGCGTCTCTGCAGAAGGAGCAACCACTGGCCCTGGAGAGGGAGGATCCTGGAGCCT